CCAGGAACAGATTTAGAGCTGAATTCTACCAGAAATACAAACAAGAGCTGGTACCATTCCTTGTGAAGCTATTCCAAACAATTGAAAAGGAGAGACTCATCCCTAACTCATTTTATGAAGTCAGCAACATCCTGACACCAAAACCTGGCAGAGATACAACAAAAAAAGAAAACTTCAGGCCAATATCCCTGATGAACATTGATGCAAAAATCCTCAGTTAAAATACTGGCAAACGAATTTAGCAGCACAACAAAAAAACTTACCCACCATGATCAAGTTGGCTCATCCCTGGGATGCAAAGCTGGTTCAACATACGCAAAGCAGTAAATGTAATCCATCACATAAACAGAACCAAAGACAAAAACCACATGATTTTCTCAATGGATGCAGAGAAGGCCTTTGACAATATTCAACATATCTCCGTGTCAAAAACTCTCAGTAAACTAGGTATTGATGGAACATCTCAAAATAATAAGAGCTATTTATGACAAACCCACAGCCAATATCATATTGAATGGGCAAAAGCTGGAAGCATTCCCTTTGAAAAACGACACAAGACAAGGATGTCCTCTCTCTCCACTCCTATTCAACATAGTATTGGAAGTTCTGGCCAGGGCAATCAGGCAAGAGAAAGAAATAAAGATATTCCGATAGGAAGAGTGGAAGTTAAGTTGTCTGTTTGCAGATAACATTATCTTATATTTAGAAAACCCTATCATCTCAGCCCCAAAACTCCTTAAACTGATAAAGCAACTTCAGCAAAGTCTCAAGATATGAAACCAATTTGCAAAATAACAAGCATTCCTTTACAGCAACAATAGGCAAACAGAGAGTAAAATCATGAATGAACTCTCATTCACAACTGCTACAAACAGAATAAAATACCTAGGAATACAGCTAACAAGGCATGTCAGGGACCTCTGCAAGGAAAACTGCAATCTACTCCTGAAGGAAAGCAGGGGACACAAACAAATGGAAAAAAAATTCCATTCTCATGGATTGGAAGATTCAATATTGTGAAAATGGCCATACTGCTTACAGTAGTTTATATATTCAATGCTATTCCATCAAACTATCATGGATATTCTTCACAGAATTAGAAAAAAACTATTTTAAATTTCATAAGGAATAAAAAAAGACCCCATATAGCCAAGGCAATCCTAAACAGAAAAAACAAAATTGGAGGCTTCACATGACCTGATTTCAAACTATACTACAAGGCTACAGTAACCAAAACAGCATGATACATGTACAAAAACAGACATGTAGACAAATGGAGCAGAATAGAGACCTCAGAATTAACCCTATACATCTACAACCATCTGATCTTCAACAAACCTGACGAAAACAAGCAATGGGAAAAGGATCTCCTATTTAGTAAATGGTCTTGGGAAAACTGGCTAGCCATATGCAGAAAACTGAAACTGGACCCCTTCCATATACCTTACACAAAAATTAACTCAAAATGGATTAAAGACTTAAATGTAAAATCCCAAACCATAAAAACCCTAGAAGAAAATCTAGGCAATACCATTCAGAAAATAGGCATGGGCAAAGACTTCATGATAAAAACGCCATAAGCAATTGCAACAAAAACCAGAATTGACAAATGGGATCTAATTAAACTAAAGAGCCTCTGCACATGAAAAAAAAACCTATCATCAGAGTGAAAAGGCAACCTACAGAATGAGAGAACATTTTTGAAACTACCCACCTGACAAACGTCTGATATCCAGAATTTACAAGGAATTTAAACACATTTACAAGAAAAAAGACAACCCCATTAAAAAGTTAGCAAAGTATATGAGCAGACACTTCACAAAAGAAGACATTATGTGGCCAACAAGCATATATAAAAAAAAGCTCAACATCACTGATCATCAGAGAAATGCAAATCAAAATCACAATGAAATACCATTTCATGCCAGTCACGATGGTGATTATTAAAAAGTCAGGAAACAATAGATGGTGGCAAGGCTGTGGAGAAATAGGAATGCTTTCACACTGTTGGTGGGAATTCAAATTTGTTCAACCATTGTGGAAGAGAGTATGGTGATTACTCAAGGATATAGAACCAGAAATACCATTCAACCCAGCAATCTCATTACTGGCCATATAAACAAAGGAATATAAATCATTCTACTATAAAGGCACATGCATATGGATGTTTGTTGCAGCACTATTTACAATAGTAAAGACTTGGAACCAACCCAAATGCCTATGAATGATATATTGGATAAGAAGTACATATACACCATGGAATACTACACAGCCATAAAAAGGAATAAAATCTTTTTTTTTTTTTTTTTGGAGACAGAGTCTCACTTTGTCACTGGGCTGGAGTTCAGTGGCACAATCTTGGCTCACTTGAATCTTGGTCTCCGGTTCAAGTGATTCTCCTGCCTCAGCCTCCTGAGTAGCTGGGACTACAGGCACATGTCACCATGCCCAGTTAATTATTTTGTATTTTAGTAGAGATGGATTTCACCATGTTGATAAGGATGGTCTTTTTCTCTTGACCTCGTGATCCATCTGCCTTGGCCTCCCAAACTCTTGGAATTACAGGTGTGAGCCACCATGCCCAGCTGAGATCATGTTGTTACATAGGTATACATGTGCAGCAAACCACCACTGCATACGTGTACCTACGTAACAAACCTGCACATTCTGCACATATATCCCATTTTTTTAGAAGAAATAAAGAAAAAAAAGAAAATTATTTCCTCCATAAAAGCAATGAGATAACTAGCAGTAAGTGTCAGAATCAACTTTTTTAGAACTCTAGAAATTAACCACATGCTTGCAGCAATTTGTGGCCACTTACTCAAGTAAATCAACTGAATATTGGAAAGAACAGTGAGCTTTGTTGCATTTTAATTTGCCCTATTCCCATTATCCCACTGTGAACTTTCACAGTAGCCTTGAAAACCAACATCCTGCAATCATGGTGACAACTAGGAGCTTGACAGACATCAGCAGAGGCCGAACAGGGTTGGAGATTCTTCAAAGACTCATTCCCAAAGAATTGTCTTTAATTGACATATCTGGCAAACACTAATCTACTTTTGTCTCGATGAATTTGCCTGTTCTGGGCACTTCATATAAATACAGCTGTATGATACATTACCTGGTTTCTTTCACTTGGCATAATGTTTTACAGTTCATCCATGTTGTAGCATGTATTACAACTTCATTCCTCATTATGGCCAAATAATATTCCAATGTATGCATATGTCACATTTTGTTATCCATTCATTGGTGGAGGACATTTAGATTGCTTCCACTTTTTTGCTCTTAGCAATAGTGCCACTATGAACATACATGTCTAAGTCTTTGTATGGACATATGCTTTTTTTTAACATTTTTATTTTACATGTGCAGGTTTGTTATATAGGTAAACTGCATGTCATGGAGTTTGGTGTACAAATTATTTCCTTACCCAGGTAATAAGCATAGTGCTCAATAGGTGATTTTTTAATCCTCTCCCTCCTCCCATTCTCCACCTTCAAGTAGGTCCTAGTGTCTTTTGTTCCCCTCCTTTTGTCCATGTGTATCCAATGCTTAGCTCCCATGTTTAAGTGAGAATATGTGGTATATGATTTTCTGTCAAAAACAGGTTTCTGTCAAGAACCAAGGTTTAGTTTGCTTAGGATAATGCCCCTTAGCTCCATCCATGTTCCTGCAAAGCATGGTCTTGTTATTTTTTTATGGCTGTGTAGTATTTCATGGCATATAAGTACCAAATTTTCTTTATCCTATCTATCGTTGATGAGTATTTAGGTTGATTCATGTGAACATATGTTTACATTTTTCTTGGGAATGTGCCTCAGGATGGAATTACTGGATCATATTGTAACTCTATAATTAACCATTTCAGGAATTGCCAGACGATTTCCCAAAGCAGCTGAATCATTTAACATTCCCAAGAAGTCTTTAAACATTATATTTAACTTAGTTTTTAAAAAATGTAGTTTAATATAACAATTTTTATAAGACCACTTATGAACATTTTATGGGAACATTCTGTGGCAAAGTCTATTCTAATCAAACAAACAAGGACCTCTTCCTCACATTGTCATTGCAAAAATAAAAAATAAAAATAGGGGACTTAGCACACTTTGTCTCCTAAAAATGTATAACAGTAACAGGCAAAAAAAGTTGGAAGATGGTTTTGTGAGGATCTAAACTCATCTTCCGCTTGTTAACACAGCAAGTAATGGGTAAATATTAGCCTGAAGTTTTCAATACAATGCTGTTACTTTAGTCACACTTTCTTTGGTTCTGGTTATATAAGGTTGATATCATGAAAACTAGAGAAAAATTTTTTTTAAATTGTAGTCTTTAGGATTAAATGCTAGCAATCCTTAGCTAGCAGCTATAATTTTATTATAGCTTTTTAAAAAATTCCTTATTTTATGCCCTTTAAAAATATAGAGGTAACTTACAAAACCTACCTGAAGCTGTAAATAAGTTCCTGAGATTATTTTACAAATTAAAGCATATTACTAATAATTTCGCTTCTTGAAATTCCATTTTCAGTCCAATTTATGTTAATATCACCCTTTCAATGTTCAAAGAAGAAAAATCTGCATGTGTTAATGTCTACCTGTCATACCAGTCCTTGATTCCTTCTTTAGCAGAGCAGCAAAATGAAGGGAAGTGAATTACTATCCTCCTCCTTCTGTTATTTTTCTCTACGGACTCCACTGTTCTGAGAATGGTATCCATATTTTACACTAAGAATTTGCATACAGAAACTGCATTGTAACACAAATACACTTTTAAGCAATGGGAAATTTGAGTTTTCCTTTATACATTTGGCTGCTGCTGACCAATGTTGAAATTATGACAGTCTTTTTTTTTTTTTTTTTAGTTTTTAAAAGGAGGATTTATTTGACAAGTTTACTTAGCGCAATATACCTAAAAGGAAATCAATACAATGAAAGATTAAATCAAGGCCTCTGAATTTTGTACAAACACCAAGACCAAAATCCTGAAGGACTGGTACTGCATCTCAAATTTTTCCCATTAACTTAAAAAAAGCTTAAACTTACATGCCTTACAGGTTATTAAATGAAACTAGAATTAACAAACATGCCAAAATGTTTCACTTTTAATTGTAGACACAGCTCCTATATTGAGTTTAAAAAAAAAGCATGTCTTTCAACATGCATCTGAACAGTGTTCAATGCAAAGGGGAACACTTAATATAATTCAACTGCTTTTAACTAAATACGCTTACTGCTTAAGTATATCCTACAATATAACTAACTTGAGAAAAGTTGGAACTTGTTTAACAGTTATAGTTTACTCAGCTTCACTGTTATATCCTAGATAAGTATTGTATTAAAAAATACTGAGCCTCAAGTCTTCATAAGAATCCTGATTTCCACTTAAAGAGAAAGCATAAATCACAAGCTTGTATTACAGAAACTGTTAAACTGAAGTTTTGTTTTTTCTTTAAAAAAAAGTTGACCAAGAGTCAGTGATCAGGATCAATCAATTACATTCCCCATCCACCACTCATACTGGACATGCTAGACATCCCTCCCATTCCGTTCAACGCCCAAAGATGCATGGCTTCCACTACTGTAGTAGCTGCTGTTCATTGCTCCTTGGCTACCTATGCAATGTTTGATTGAAAATCACTGGAGTTTTCCTGTAAAACTTGGTCGTATCCACTCATGCTGCTCTGGCCACCATAGCCGCCTCCATAACCACCACTCAGCTGCTGGCTGGCTGGGCCACCATAACTGGACTGGTTTGACAAGCCCATGCCTCCCATCATTTGGCTACCATAAGCATCACCGCTTGCTCCTGCTGTAGAATTCAAGAAGAGTTCTACATATCTGTGTTCGTAAGCACCACTGCTTGCTCCTGCTGTAGAATTCAAGAAGAGTTCTACATATCTGTGTTGCATATTTGCTTTGTCTTTTGACATAGCTGCCACAGCATCTTCATGAGTTGCAAACTCGACATCTGCTTCACCAGTTACTCTGCCATCAGGACCAATTTCAATGTGTACTCTCACAGGATTGAGTGGTGAAAAAAAAATTATAAATGTCATTCTCAGTAGCTCTGTAAGGTAATCCACGCATGTGTACACAGTGTCCTGTTGTGCTCTGGAAAGTAGAGCCACCATCCCCGTATCTGTGATCAGACATTCCTGAAAAACAGTAATTGAGGTCTCTTCCAAATCTATCTGGCCCAAACCCATAGCCATCATTATAGCCATTGTAATCGTCATAGCCTCCATAGCCTCCACTATAAGCACCACACCTCATCCTTTCAAAGCCTGCTGCTCTGCCAATGCTGTTATATCCTCTGCCAGCCCCAGGTCTGTCATAGGGACCTGGCCGCTGCATGGCCATAAACTTTCGTGGTGGGTCATAGTGAGTTCTAACTTCAGCTCTACTGCTCTTAAAGATTTCAATATACCTGTGCCCTATTCTTTCCTTGTGTTTCTTTAGAGCCTTTTCAGCTATTTCCTGTGAAGCAAACTGCACGAAGGCCTCCACCGTACTCCTCCCCTGGAAGTCCACCGGCAATGTTATCCCATTTGGCACGATTTCCAACCCTGAGAAGAACTGAAAAATTTTTTCCTTGCTACATTCAAAGGGAAGTCCTCTAAGACGTACAAAGCCATCATTGGCCGTGTCAGTACTATTTGGACCAGTATGCTTCAACACCCAATCCATTTCAACGTTGTTTGACTTGAATACTTCATCATATCTGTGTCCCATAGTTTCTCTGTCTTTTTTCAGGGCCAATTTGACTTCATCTTCTGATTCAAGTTCAACAAAAGCCTTGCCACTCGGTCTGCCTTCTCTGGTGTAGATGAAATGAATACCTTGAGCCCCATTTTGAATTTTGCAGTCAGAAAAAAACCTCTGCACTTCATCAGCCGAGCAAGACCAGGGCAACACCCGGACCTTCACCACGAATCCCTCTCCACCTTCGGTGCCCAACATCATTGTCTCTTACGCGGTCCGGCGTCGAAACAAACCTGACACCCAACTCCAGAGTGGGTAAGACGAAATTGACAGTCTTTATAGTAGTCATTTCATGGCAGCTGTTATACCAAATCACAGGAAACTGTATCTTCGGGGTCAAAACACAGTTTACATAAATCATTGCATATATACATCTGTATTCTGTAAGAAAACATAGGGATCTGTGTTTGAAGAGTCTATCCAAGGTTAACTTGTAGGTTAAAAAACTTCATGACAGCCTGAAATGAATTCTAAACCTTGAACAAAGGGAAAATGAGAGAAACAAGGGGAAACCTTTTTTTTTAGCCCTTTCTTCCCTTCCAACACCAGCCTACCCAGTGATGACAGTAGCTGCTATTTTCCACTAGTCTGGAAATTTTGGTTACGTGGCTAGTGCTGCTGCATCTAGGATTTCACTGAAAAAAAAAATATAGATATTGCTGCCAAAGAAATTTAATCAGTTAACAAGTTTAAGATATTTGAAATTGAGCTCAACTAAGGAAATAATGGCTAGTGTAGTACGTAAAGACTACACTTTCCCGCTCTTCATATTGCATATGTGTATGCCTCCATGTTCGTGGAATATTTCAGTAAACAATTAGCTATCAGGAATAGCTCCTTTTAAGTACTTTTATTAATTTATTTATTCATACCCAGTAACATACTCCAACTCTGCAATAAAGTTGTACTGACATTTAATAAGTAAATTTGGTAATTATAAATATGTATGCTTTTTGATCAATTTGCAAATTAGTAAAAATTTATATGCAATATTTCTGCATAAGCTTTTAAAAACTTTATTGTCTTTTTTGCTTTCTAGATCAGCTTACATTCAAGATTCTTAAATTATTAGTGATAACAATGAATCTTTGAGAATGTTCAAATAAACTTTTGTTTACTTGGCTTCAAAATCACTTTGTAAATGATTCTTCAGTGGATGTGGTCAACTGATATTTGTTGCTTTTGAAAGATTCTGAGTAATTCTAGGGACTAAATTAGGCTAAGCTAATCCTTCCTTTTACCCTTTAGGAATTTGCTACCTAGACAGAATAAATTTATTGTCTGCCAAATTTTAAAAGGGCAGATAGATATATGATCTACTACATTTAGGATTGTGTAGTCTCTAATCAATAGGCCTGTGTTTTGAATTACATGGTGAGAAAGTCAAAAAGCAAAGTGATAAGCATGCAAAAGGGTACTGCATCTGTAAAATACGTGCTTCCTAACTTAACAAATCAACAGCCTTTCCAAAAGATTACACAAAAATGGTTTACTTCTATATTTGTTTCAACTCAAACACTTCTGGTGCAATTCAAGAATTCTGAAATGTATATTTGAAAAGTAATTATCTTATTTTATTAGATGCATTACAGTAAAGCTTCTGGTACTCTTTAAATGATACCATCAACAGAAAGATGTGTTAATGATGAGCTTATATTTAAGTCATGTTTCCGGGTTTTCAAAACTTCACAAATCTTTGGAAGTTTGAAGTTTATACCTGAATTAGCAGCTGCATCTCCAAAGAAAAAAGCATATCCTAATTGTAACATTTGCCCAACCCAACTGAAAAAAGTACCAAGGAGAAAATGTGCAACAGTTAATAATAACAGCCAATAATCATTGACTTTCTTATTGAATTATTAACTTTCTCACTGAATACTCACATCAAACATAAGAGGTACAATTATTATTCCTAATTAACAATGAGAAAACTAAGGTTCAAAGATGTTAAATAATATGCTTGAGTTCAGACAGATAGTATGCAGTGGTGCTCTTAATCCCGCAACATTCACCTCTATAGCATATGGCTTCTAGCTATCATTATGGATATCTTAAAATTCAAAGGAACATGCCATGACACCAAATGCAAAAGAGTTGCATAAACAATTTTATTTACTGAGAAATTTTAAATTAACAGTAGAGTAATAGAACGATTTATATTCCTTTGGGTATATACCCAGTAATGAGATTGCTGGATTGAATGGTATTTCTGTCTATATCTCTTTGAGGAATCATCACACTGTCTCCCACAATGGCTGAACTAATTTATACTACCACCAACAGTACATAAGCATTTCTTTTTCTCCACAACCTCACCAGTATCTGTTGTTTTTTGACTTTTTAAGAATAGCCATTCTAACTGGTGTGAGATGGTATCTCATTTTGATTTGCATTTCTCTAATGATCAGTGATGTTAAGCTTTTTTTTTATCATATACTTGTTGGCTACATGTATGTTTTCTTTTGAAAAGTGTCTCTTCATATCCTTTGTCCACTTTTATTAATAAGGTTGTTTTCTTCTTATAAATTTGTTTATATTACTTATAGATGCTGAATATTAGACCTTTGTCGGATATAGTTTGTAAAAATTTTCTCCTATACTGTAGGTTATCTGTCTTACCTGTTAGTTTCTTTTGCTGTTCAGAAGTTGTTTAGTTTAATAAGATCACATTTATCAATTTTTGCTTTTGCTGCCATTGCTTTTGACATCTTTATTATGAAATCTTTGCCCATGCCTATGTCCAGAATGGTAGTGCCTAGACTGTTTTCCAGGATTTTTATAGTTTTGTGTTTTACTTTTAAATCTTTAATGCATCTTGTGTTAATTTTTGTGCATGTATAAAGAAGGGGTCTAGTTTCAGTCTTCTGCATATGGCTAGTCAGTTATCCAAGCATGCATGCACACATATTTTCATTGAAACACTATTCACAATAGCAAAAACATGGAAACAACCAAAATGCCTGTCAATGATAGACTACATAAAGAAAATGTGGTACATATACACCATATAATACTACGCAGCCATAAAAAACGTTGGATCATGTCCTTTTCAGGGACATGGATGGAAGTGGAGACCATTATCTTTAGCAAATTAACACAGAAACAGAAAATTCAAATTCACATGTTCTCACTTACAAGTGGGAGCTAAATGATGAGAACACATGGATACATAGATGGGAAAGACACACACTGGGGCCTTTGGAGAATGAAGGATAAGAGGAGGGAGAGGATCAGAAAAAATAACCAATGAGTATTAGCTTAATATCTGGGTGATGAAATAATCTATGCCACAAACATCCATGACAAAATTTACATATGTAACAAATCTGCACTTGTACCTGTGAACTTAAAATAAAAGTAAAAAGAAAAATAGGTTAATGGTTTTGAAGATTAAGCTCTGATTTTATTATTTTATTTTATTTATTTATTTATTTGTTTGTTTGTTATTTATTTAGAGACGGAGTTTCGCTCTTGTTACCCAGCCTGGAGTGCAATGGCGCGATCTCGGCTCACCGCAACCTCTGCCTCCTGGATTCAAGAAATTCTCCTGCCTCAGCCTCCCAAGTAGCTGGGACTACAGGCACGTGCCACCATGCCCAGCTATTTTTTTTGTATTTTTAGTAGAGACGGGGTTTCACCATGTTGACCAGGATGGTCACAATTTCTTGACCTTGTGATCCACCTGCCTCGGCCTCCCAAAGTGCTGGAATTATAGGCGTGAGCCACCGGGCCCAGCCTGATTTTATTTTTTAAATGTTACTTTGCCCAAATTCCTATCTAAGGGGTGTGGAGAGTCATACCCTACAAACCATAAATTCTCATCAGATAGGTTTTATTTAACCCTATATATCATGACTTACTCTCCAGTCTGACTCTGGAATTAGATTATATGACAAAGAAGAAAGTAAAAATATTTTACCTCAACATGTTTCTTTGCCTATCTTGAAATGGCCCCACAAAGCTGTCCTTTGTGGGAGAAAATTTGCATCTGTAAAAAATCTCTATTAACATAGTTAGATCTTTTTCTTCTGGGCTGTTCCAATCTTAAAGAGATTAACTAAGAGTCTACCACCTTTTAAAGATCTGAATAGAAAATATTTGTCATCTATTGTCTCTAAGGCAGCCACCATAAGACTTCAAAAGAACCTTGGTCTCCAAAATGTTTATCTTAACCTGAACATTTCATTTCAATTGATCCCAGGTCTTTAGAAAACAACCGTCAATCAGAAAATGTTTAAATATAGCCTAGAAGCCCCACTTTGAGTTGTCCCACCTTTCTGGACCAAACCAATATATTTCTTAAATGTATTTGATTGATGTCTCATGTCTCTCTAAAATGTGTAAAATTAAGCTGCACCCTGACCACTTGGAGCACATGTTCTCAGGACCTGCTGAGGTCTGTGTCATGAGCCATGGTCACTCATATTTGGCTCAGAATAAATGTCTTCAAATATTTTACAAAGTTTGACTCTTTTTGTTGACAATAATTTGGTGCCCAAATAACGTGGGGCCTCAGAGAAGACTCAGGACCCAGAAGGAGTTGCCTGAAACCAGAGCTAAGGTATCAGCTGGGGGCCATTGAAGCCTCAACAAGTTCGAGATTCTCCTCCAGTGGAAATGGTAAGTCGTCTTTGGGCCCTGGACCTCCTGTTTGGTTGATGGTCTTTGATTTATTCTGAGCTGGTTTTCTCCTAGGAAGTTGTTTAAGGTCTTTATTCTAGTTCAGAGATGCATTCTAAACAGTTTTCTGCATTGCTTTTTCTCTCAGAATTAATTTCAATTTGGATTGTCTGTGTGCATTTTTATAAGGAACTGAGCTGTCATTTTCATAGATAAATAAGAGACTGGTGTTTTTTCTTCAGCTCTGAAGAGAAAGGGCATTTACTCCTCTCAGTCAAAAAGTGATACTGGGTGATGGGGCAGGGGACTCATGGGAGTGCCTGGGGTGTCGACCTGGAAACTAGAGTTCTTAAGTCTGCTTTTTCTATTTACTTTCTTCCTGCTTGAAGTCTGCTGTTATTTTTCCACTAAGATAAGAACTACCATTTGTCTCTGACGGGTTTTATTTGCAAGCTGGTGACTTTATGCCTATCTTGTGGCTAAAGTACTAAAATAAAGCTATAGGATTTTTGTGTGTATATGTGTTTGTGTATGTATACACATATAGTGTGTATTTAAAAGGCCTTTATGAATTCTATAATTTTATGTTTAATTAGCAGTTAAATTTCTTTAAATTTCCCTCTAACATACCAAAATTTTTCTCCCCATATGATGCAAATTTTGCTATCTGATCTTCACTTGAATTGTTTTCTTTAATTTGTAAATTTAGGGCTATATAGCTGACAACTGACAACTCCTTAGGGTGATCCAACATGTTATCAAAAATTTGAAAGTCTAAAATAGAAAAAAGAAGGCAAAAGGAAGTCTGTTTGAATCTATAAAATGTACTTCTATCAGCATGCCTAAATACGTCTATGTATTAATATGTCATGTATGTAATGTTTCACTACTAACACTAAATAAAGGGCTCTAATTAATGGGCTTGAAAATATATAAAAGCACTTAAATCAGATATTTAAAAGACGAGTCAAATGCTTTTCAAATTTGTGTCACTTAAGTATAATCTTTAATAAATGTCTTTAAAATTATTGGTAAAATAATATTAGCAATGTCTTAAACATTGTTATGTTAGCATTTAAAAAAATCTAATTGTTTCATGTTTATTCTTGCAGAATACTATAAAATTTGCAATAAGAGTTATAAACTATAAGACTCAGCCCAAGACAGAATAATCTTTGCTTGTATATGCTTATGAAATATTGTTAGCCTAATGAAAACAGCTAAATCCTAAGTTATTTGTATAAATAGCTTTAAAATTAACCATATGTTTTATTACTTAAGTAAATGCCTGGAATTCAAAACTATAAAAATGATTAATAGAAAAAGAACTTTAAATATTGGCTATTACAGTTTTTGTAAATTAGGTAAGCTATTAATCAGATAAATGTAATGGAATAAATGCTTGTAAACAAATTTGTCATAATTTAGAATCGAAGGTTATTATTTGATATTAAGTATCTTGGTAATTTCCAACTTAGGAATTATAGAAAAACATTTTTTAATGTTCTTATTAAAGGTAAAATATCTTTGTCTAATTAAAACCTTATTTAAGGGTATGTATAAAACAAGGTAAAGGAATCAGGAAGTAAGAGATGTAAGGAAAGTTAAAGACATAAAGAGATATTTTTGGTAAAGAAAATAAAGAGGAAAGTAATTTATATAAGAAAGAACCTTGTGTGGTGAATTTTTGCCCTAAAATAAGTGACTAGGTTGTTAAAGAAAGAGGACTATTTAGGGTAAAACAGAAAGTCTAACCATGTTATAAATGATCTATGTAAATTGTAATAAGGTTAATAAAAAGGAGTTTTTAAGGGATTATATAATTCAATTGGCTATAATTAAAAGGAAATTATAATAATCTTTCTAGAGATGGATCTTTAATATTAAAAAATGCAGCAATGCAAAATTAAATAATTGGTTAAACAAGATTTTATTACATATATTGACTTATTTGTAATGCAAGACATTTTTAAATTTTTAAATTCTGTAATCTGTCTCTTTAACATTCTTCAGATTGATATCTTAAAAGTGCCACTCTTTCTCTTCTGAAAGGGCCTTGAATGATGACTCTCTCCTTCAACTTTTGTTGGCTCCTGTAATTTTTTACTAATTATCTAAAGTAAGGGAGAAAAACTTTTTGAAAATGGACAAATAAAGTATCTTTTGAACATACCTTTTATTCTGCATGCCTGTTATAGCTCTGTCTTTACATGTGTCATGTGAATGTGATATTTCACTGGCAAACTACATGAAAGAGTTCTAATCAAGTAACTAAAAAAAGTAAGTGCTATCTAGGCGCTATGGCTGATGCCTGTAATCCCAGCACTTTTGGAGGATGAGGCAGATGGATTTTGATGTCAGGGGATCGAGACCAACCTGGCCAACATGGTAAAATCCCATCTCTACTAAAGACACAAAAAATTAGCCAGGCGTGGTGGCATGTACCTGTAATCCCAGCTACTCAGGAGGCTGAGACAGCAGAATCACTTGAACCCAGGAGGTGGAAGTTGCAGTGAGCTGAGATCACACCCTTGTACTCCAGCTTGGGTGACAGGGTGAGACTGTCTCCAAAAAAAAAAAAAAAGTAAGTGTTTATCTTAATGATAGAAACTAGCTCAGATGCCTTTTAATTCACATAACCTTGGTAATCTTTTGTAAAATTAATTTGGTAAATTTAATGCCAAAACTCTCCAGTAATTTAGAAATCTTTGAGTCATGTTAAACCCTCAGGTTTTGTTCCCACTGGAAATTTTCATTGCTAAAAAGTTAAAATAATAGAAGCGTAAAATATGCCTTTGGTAAAATTTTTGTAAATGCAAGGATATCAAATTTCAAAAAAAAAGTTAGGTGTTTTTTTTTTGTTGTTAAGAAACTAAGAGTTGCTTTATAATGAAGGAAATTATACAGACAAAAGTAAATAAATTTAAAAAAAAAACAAGCCAAGGCAACAAAACTCTGAGCCCCATGGCTATCAAGACAATAGTCAATATGGTGAAAGAGTAAAACCAAGTAACTATTTAAAACCAAAGGATTTAAAATGATTGTTCTATCTTGTAGATTGGTATCATTCAGCTTCTTTAAAAAAAAGTCTTTACTATAGTGTATTGTAAAAATAACCACTTTAAGGACAAATTCTTAATTTTAAATGCTACTGAATTTAAGAGCTTGTTTGGATTAATGCAGGATCCACAGCTCATTACTTTATCACTGAGTATATTTGTTCTAAATGTACAGGGCTTTATTCCTAAGAAAGCGATCAGCCTAGCCATTGTAAAGTCTGTTTTCCCTGAGAAGGGGACTGCCCAACTCTCCCTATAAAATACTAAGTGGGCCGGGTGCAGTGGCTCACGCCTGTAATCCCAGCACTTTGGGAGGCCGAGGCGGGTGGATCACGAGGTCAAGAAATCGAGACCATCCTGGCCAACATGGTGAAACCCCGTCTCTACTAAAAATACAAAAAAAAAAAATTAGCTGGGCATGGTGGCGCGTGCCTGTAATCCCGGCTACTCGGGAGGCTGAGGCAAGATAATTGCCCGAACCCAGAAGGCGGAGGTTGTGATGAGCCGAGATCGCGCCACTGCACTCCAGCCTGGGTAACAAGAGCGAAACTCCGTCTCAAGAAAAAAAAAAAAAAAAAAAAAAGTACTAACTGAAGCATTTTGTTCTACCATATCTGGCTTTTTATTTGATTGCCCAGAATATTTATAATCCTGTGTTAATAACCAAAAATCAAACAAGATTCTATTATCATCCACTTTCTTTCTTACAAACCTTTAAGAAGAATTTTCTGAGGGTTTTTAAATCTATCTCACAGGCCAAACAAGCTTTGCTCACAGGTGAAAGTAGTTTGTACCTGGATTTCCCTATCTTTCTATTTTCTGTTTTACTGAGAAGAAAATGATGATGAGTTTTCAAACAGGAACAAAGGGCGTGCATACTTTCTGTAATGATTGAAATAGGCTGCTGAGTCTTCATAAGTAATGCTATACAGAAGATCAAGTACTTCTGATTTGATAATTCGACATGATTCTGTTCTCCTTTCATGTAACATTTACTTAGATTTTAAAATAACAGTTTCTTCAGACATCCTAACCATTAACATGTGGCATGTCAATCCATGTTGCTTATATGTGTAAATATCTTTTCTATAAAACAAATGGAATTAAAAAACAAACAAGCCTATATAACCCTGTCAACTCTATGCAGAGCATTGCTTCTTTAGTTTTAAGAGTAAATGGCCTTGTATAAATATGTTGATAAGAGTAATAATTTTAAATTGCATAAGGTTTAGAGTAAAAAGCAATATTTTGCCATAATATTGTGTATCACTTTATTAAGAAATACTTATGTACATGGAGTGGAGAATCCGGGTTATACAAAGTCTTAACTATTCTAATATGTATCTCCAGGTCTGGGGCACAAAATTGAATTCGATCACTGTATCAGATTTCATATTTATTAAAATGAAGAGGAGCAAAGTCTTTGAAAAATTTTATCTAAATATATGTTAAATTTTCTTTAAAAGAAAATTATATTGTACGTGATTTAAAATTAAAGTAAAAATCAAATTTACTTTATGAGCATTTTCCTATTAAATATTATTGCATAACAACTTAGATCACAAAAAACTGCATTAACTTAGATGACATTTTAGTCGTAATTTTTTAAACTTACTATAGTTTTATCAATTATTACTGTTTTCAAATTATTCAATATCCTTCACTCACTTTCAAAACAAAAAATAGCATGTAACATAATGTAACATAAACCAATCTATTCTCAATGATTTTATTTTCATTTCGAGTTGTAGATTTACAATCAATTATGATATTTCTATGTAGACAAAGGTTTATTTTAGTTAAAAACAATTCTATATTCCTCTTCTTTTATTTTTCTAATAAAATCAGCACTAGACATGCAACTTTTTCAGATAAACAGAATGGTAAACTATAGCTACCTGTTTCTAACTAGATGGCACCTGAGAAATTTTAAATTACATATAATTACTGGAAAGGGGCAAGAAATGTTTTAGGTCTTCATTTATGTTTTAATGCAATAACTCAAACATTTCAAGTTCAACCAACAAAAGTTTATCAGAAAAATTCTAACATTTCTCTGATTAAAAGCTAATGTTGATGGAGAGAACAAAGCAGACATTAAGAATCTTTCAATCTATCATAGTTTTACTACTACTTTGCTGACTATGGAATGCATTCCCTTAGGATTTGCTGACAATTTGAAAGTTAAGGAGAAAGGTATCTCTAGGAAGAGTCTGGGCTAAATCACTTTTGCTTTAAAACATTCATACTGTTTTGATGTTATTTAGTGTAAACAGTCAAATGTCTCAGGTTTAGTGTGTTATTTACTTTGTGTGTAATGACACATTTCAACCTTGCCTGCATATCTCCTATCCTCAGATATTTATTCTTTTTTACAACCTAATTCTCCATATATGTCTTTGATCTCATCCTCTCTTGCCTTATTTGGTTCCTCAGCTATTTCTCTTATTGATGTATCTTTCATCTTGTCCTCTTTATTGATTCCTTCCTTTTAGCATATAAATACATTTCATATATTTTTCTTTATTTAAAACAATGCTCTACCTTTAATCTTGATTTTCTCTCAGATGCCCACAATCTTCCTACTTCACTTCTTGACAGAATAGAAAACATTTATTGTTTCCATGTCAGCGTAGTCTTCAGTGTCTTTCCAGGGGGCTTTTAGCTACACTTATCACTATGCCCTTTTCTGGGACTATTTTGACATCCTCTCTGATACTGTCAGAATTTTTTCTTCTTATGATGAGTTATTACTTAAGTGTTGTCAAGATAGAGATTATTTTTTTCTCAAGACAGAAAGAATGTTGTGCTTGGGTCTCAGAGGCATAAATTATAGCTACTAGCAATGTGACAGGATTAAATTCGACATAATTAAAATTGAAAGTGGGCTCTATAAACTCACTAAGGGAAGAACAACCCTTCCTTTTGGCATGTTTACTACAAATGTAAACAATTTTCCCTTTGAAATTACAGGTAATTTATTTTTCTTCTCATTTAGCTTAAACCTGAACATTAAGAGCCTGCTGAGGTCAAAGGTTCATTGATGACAGTAGTCAACACACTTTAAAATTTGTAGAATCTAGTTTAAAATATCAACAATGTATTGTTTTCCCTAATTGGAATTAATGCCTTATCAGACATATTTTACTCACATGGGATATTTCTGTTACAAAAGGAGAACTCCATCTATCAACTTCCATAGGGATTATGCTTAACACACAAGCAGATCAAAGGATCTATTTGAAAGAATGATAAGCTTTAAACTAACTAACTTGTGACACTGTGCTGTAGTCAGCTTTTGGACAGTAGAATAATCAAGATAAGCAAGAAACAATTTGCAAGCTTTATTGCACATTCTTGTAAAATTCAAGTAAATGTACATAAAACTAATCAAACAAAATACGTTCATTCATCATGCTAAACAATGTCAGCCTCTAAAGAGCAGTTCACCATTCACTTCAATCAAGGCGGTTAGTTTCAGCAATTTCTTAATGCCAACAACATAGAACACTGGTATACAGAATATCATCTTGTTCATTCTGTAGTCTTAAATATCAGTGAAAACATAGTGGTTATTGATGAACACTGAGTAGATACATTGTGTCAGGTTTCCGAAGTTATCCTGGTTTTTAGTCTTACATTGAAACTAATAAATAAAACTAATGAATAAAATGGATATCACACAGACTTTGAAAGTGGTCCTTAGGAAAAGGCACATTTTAGAAAAGAAAATTTTAAGTTATGGGAAATGGGCACTTATTTATTTTTCTTCTCATTTAGATTAAACATGAACATAAGAACCTGTTACAGTCAAAGGCTCATTGATGACATTAGTCAACACATATTCTTACCTCTACATATATTCTTACCTCTGAAGCAAACACCTTATATATAACTAAATTCTATGTGTAACAACCCCTGATTTAGAAAGTTCAACATCTTTTATTCCTTAAGAACAAAGTACTACGTGTTGGTTGTGCTTGTAGATCTCTACTATAGCATCCTAGGAACATATTAAATGATGATGCTATAATGTTAGTGCAATTCTGCTCACCTTTATGGACATTCTTTTACTTTACTTCTCAAGATCCACTCAGCCATTAAATGTTGGAATTCTGCAGGGTCCTCTTATCACTTTTAAACTCTTTCCTTAGGCCAATGGTTCTCAGAGACCTGGATTCAACAGCATCATCATTGCCCACGTGCTTGTTAGACAGGTGAATTCTCAGCCTGCACACTACACACTAGACTTATTGAATAAGAAACTTCAGGAATGGTTCCCAGAAGTCTTTGTTTTACTAATTCCTCCAGTTTAGCTTGACGTATGTTCATGTTTGAGAACCACTGTCCTAGCTGTTCTCACCGATGCCTATGGCTTTATTTAAATACCATATCAATGCAGATTACACACAAATTATCTCCAGTTTAGTCCTTTTCTCTGAACTCCAGGCTAAAAAGAAACTAAGTGAAACTCCATAGGATGTCTCACAGGTATCTCTAATTCTACATGTCCACAGACCAAAAGAGACCAAACTCATAGTCTTGTCCTTAGAGTTCTGGTCCTCTGCCAGTGTTTCATATCTCATTGAAAATTACAATGAAATTCATCTTGTTATATAAGCCAGAAGCCTAGAAGTTACCCTTGACACATTAGCTCCCTTAATTCCTATTGCCAAGTGTGTTGGTTTTACCTCCTAAAGGTATATTGTATATATCCACTTGTTTTGTTTCATTCCCACTATTCTAGCCTCTAACAGGCTCTTATGTTTACGTTTAATCTAAATGAGAAGAAAAATAAGTAAGTGCCCATTTCCCATAACTTAAATTTTTCTTTTTTAAAATGTGTCTTATCCTAAGGAACAAACAGTTTCAATTGAGGCTGTGTGATATCCATTAAAAACAGCATAAAACACAAAAAGATTTATATATAACACAAGAATATTATATAAATACTTCTGTAGTTTACACTCATATAAAAGGTTAACTTAGGTGCAAATGTACAATTAAACAATAATGTCCTTAACAATCTTGCTTCTAGTGTAATGGGTTACTACATAAACTTGTTCTCCCATAATTTACCTAGTTCTGGAATTTTTTTTTTTAATTTTTTATTGGATTTTAGGTTTTGGGGTACATGAGCAGAGCGTGCAAGACCGTTGCATAGGTACGCACATGGCAGTGTGCTTTGCTTTGCTTCTCCCCTTCACCCACATTTGGTATTTCTCCCCAGGAGTCATGGAATTTTTTAAAAATAGGTTTTCTGCATCACCAACACCTGACCTTTATTACTCATTAATTTTCTTATGCAATCTCTGCCAGTAAGTCAACATTTGATGCACGATATTCAATAATCTTGGTATGATTCTGTTTGACTATACTAGTATTGAAACTAAATAATTAGACTCAAGTAAGGATATGCCCTGCTCAGGCTTCAAGCCTTTTGTTTTTACTCTGTAATTAAATCTAATTCAGTGAATGTTCTTTGTCTATTTATCAATGTTTCAACATAGTTCATAGTCAGATCCTTCAATGTGTCAGTGTTCCTGTTTCCTGATTTTAAGTATTGTAAAGCCACTATGTTTCTGTGCTTTTGTTTTTTATAGTAAGTATAAATCTGCTGCAATTGGCAAAGGGCTTATCCAAACACTATTTCTATTAAAATTAAGAAATTCAGCAATTGAGTGATAATCCAGCAGTGGAAATTCAAAGTTACTCTTAGAGCTTAAGGCACTCAGCATGTTTCCGAAAGGCAAAGGAAATTGTGATGTTAAAAAAAAATAATAATTCAACATATTCTAGGTTTAAAGTGTGGGTTCTACCTAAAAAAATAGAGTCAAACATAATAGCAGAAACGATAAAAAAAATGAGGATATTCCTCATTGTTTGTGCAAGTAGTAAACTAAAAATATACCACGATCCTTGCAATAAATGTATTCACAAGAGATGTGTGTCATTTCTGGTTGTTTCTAAATCGTATATTCTCACTCAAAAATTGTTAATTTATAATGCAGACAAAGTATCATTGGTCTAAAAATCTTATTACTTAAAAAAGGTCAGGTATTATTTTTCTAAAGTAAAGGTTATTTTGTAATGCATTTATTTTATAATGTGAATTATCAATTACTCTTAATTTATCTGCTTTACAATTGAAATTTTCTGTGTGTTAAGTGCTCATACATTAGAAGATGTTATAAACCTGGATAGAAATATTTCTTCTCTGCAGTTGTGTGATATTAGTATCACAGAATTAGCAATAGTGTCTTTATATAATCAAGCAAAATAATCCACTTAGTCTATTAGGATAGTCAATGTAAATTATATAGTTCATTTTCCTTATACAGACTTAAATTTAGTCTAATAGGAGAAAATATCCCTTACAAAGGGTAATAAAGAGTTTGACTCCGCTTTTGACATTTGATTGCTGATAGTTTTCAAGCCCTACCCTCCTCCCTTTCCCTGGTATGCTGGAGCCTTAATTCCAGCCTCATCTCCTAAATACTAGAAAAACTAACTTTTGTTGTTGTTGTTGTTTTTGTTTTGAGACAGTCTTACTCTGTCACCCAGGCTGGAGTGCAGTGGTGCAATCATGGCTTACTGAAGCTTCGACCTCCTGGGCTCAAGCAATCCTCTTACCTCAGCCTACCAAGTAGCTGTGACTACAAGTGTCTGACACCATGCCCTACTAATTTTTTAGTTTTTTTTTTGTTGTTGTTGTTGTTATGCAGCCAGGTTCTCCCTATGTTGTCTAGACTGGGCTCGAACACCTGGGCTCAAGAGAGCCTCGTGTCTTAGCCTCCCAAACTGCTGGGATTACAGGCCTGAGCCACCACATCCTGACCTCAAGTTATTTTTGGATCAGCAGGAATGCCTGTCTTGCTCTTTTTAGAAAGCCTCATTATGCAAATAATAAACATTTTCATAGTGCCCTGGTGTGTATAATGTGTCTTGGCATCTTAACCAAACTTGAGAGGGGTTGAGAGGGTGGGGGATTCATTTCACCTCTGTGGAGTGACCAACATGTGAAACACTGATTAAAATGAAAAGGTATAGTTCTGAGCAAAATAAAGAAATATAGTACTGAAAATGATTCACCAAGTCCTGTATTAATTTGGTTTCTGATTTCCAAAACCAAAATAGTAGATAAGAAATACTAGAAAGAAAAAAATCTTACGGTGTCCACTAGATGGCAGAGGCCAACTTTTATTCCTAGGAATTTCAATTCTAAATAACCCAATGTTTTCATTCCAGGGAGCTATCTGTTAATAATATACATGAATTTGAGGGTAAATTGTTAGAGATATGATTAATATGAATGTTTATTGGTTTTATCATTTAGTGAATTATCCCTAATGGCAAATGATCTGGGCTTTTGAGTAGCTAAATCTCTTCCACTTTGAACATAGAAATGGGTTTCTTTTGGCCTCCCTCATTTCCTTCACTGATAGATAAATCACTCCTCTACATCACAGGACAAATGTGGAAGTTACACTCTCTTTCAGGGCAATATCTTACACACAGGTAAGTACTGTCTAGACATAGTGTCTAGTTTACACTAATGAAAAATTATGCAATCTTATAGTTGCAAAGCTACCTAAAAAGAACAATTTGTTTCTACTTCTTACTTCAGGCTTGAATACCTAAAGCCTCCAGGACACAGTTTAAGATATTAAAAGGTAGAAACTATATCACTTTCCTTAATAGTCAATTCTGGTCATGTATTTTATTTAATAGATAATTCAAGCTCTCCTGCTTTAGCTTAAACACATATTTTCGCAATTTTATTTTAACTTTCAACTCTTTTTGTACAATTTTTAAAAATACTTAATTGTAATAATTATATCACTATCAGTAAAACACACTAATTTACTTAACTTTTTTTTAATGGAATCTATTTTTATATCCCTTTGATTGGAATTTACTTCTCTTCCCTGAATTGTCCCAAGTTTCATTTAATCTGTTCTGAAGATACACAAATATAAAGTATATGATATAACTTATATGTAATGTATATCATATATTATATATTTATATATTATATATAATTGTATATAATATACTAAGATATGTAATAGTAAGAATCTAACTGAATACAGGAAACATGACATCTAGTAACTTATAGGTACTTATCTCTTCAATATCTCATAGTACTATAACAGCATTCTCCAAACATCTTAATTTTATGGATGGCTTTTACTTCCAAAGATTTTTCAGCTATTTTGATGGCAGTGGTTTCTTTCCAAGTTCTTAGACTGAATTTCTTCAAAATTTCTTATAGCCATTAACATAATTTATCATATATATTCTAGAATATGAGCCCAGAGCAGAAGCAGAAGTCATTCTATTTCTTTTTGATCAATTGCCTGATTTCCTGTAGGTCCTTGGTTGAAGAACTAAGTTAATGCATGTGGCTTTATTATGTCAACAAAAGAAAACAGAACAATTTGATCCTGATTGATTCTTCTCTTAAGCTTGCTGATGATTTTATGCACACATTCTTTAATTATAGGAATCTGTCTATAGGAAGGACAACCTATCATTTGAAGAGCATTGTAAATTAGTAGGTATTGTAATATAAGTTAGAAGACGACTTGATAAAAAATAGATAAATCCTATGATTCTTCCCCCAAAGAAAGGTAACTGACAATTTTAATATTTTTGCAGACAAAATAAAGAAAGATGAAAAATGAACTAGAGTGGTAAGCTAATTTGAAAGTAACTATTCTGTTAATCTTATGGAATCTATTATTCATAAATTCCAACTGCAACGTAATGCTGGAACACCAGTATTCTGAACAACCTATTTGAAAATTTAAAATTATATATGCGCCTTACATTATATTTCTGTTGTACCTCATTAATTCATTGAATCATCACAACTGTTCATTAATTTAATTAATATCAATTGAGCACATACATTGTGCCACATATTGAGGCATGTGAACTGTTGGGGTTAGAAGTTCTGGGAACAGAGAGGTAGTACTTGTGAAAGCTTATGATTCATGGGAAGACAGACATTAATACAAGAGTGACAAAACAAAAGTAAAATGAGTGTGTTAAATGCCGTGAAGTAGAGGTACATGATGCTAATGAGAGCTAATAAGTGATCAAATTGGTGGGCGGCGAGGGATTAGGGAAGGCTTTCCTAAAAGAATCACATATAAAAGTGAGCTCTGAAGAAAGACTAGGAGTTACCCAGGTTGTGGAGTATTATAGGAAAAAGAAAAACATATGCAGAGGTTCTACAGGTGGATGGAGCATAACACATTAGAGAAACTAAAAGAAGGTCAACATGTCTGGAATGTAAAAATCACAGTGGTGCATGGTATAAGATGTGACTGGAGAAGTATAGAATCAATGCAATGCCCGGCAATTCCTTTTAAGAAATTTTTTTAGTCTAAAAATAATGAAATTTATTGGTAGTTTTAAGTAAAGGGGTTGGATGGAAAAGTGGAGTGAGGTGAAGTAGTGGTGATATGATCACATTTATATTTTAAAAAATGTTTCTCCAATTCGAATGGTAGAACAGATTAAAAGGATGTCAAAGTGAGTATTGGGAGACATATCAGAGGCTATTGAAATTGCTCAGGCTGGACACAGTGGCCCAGGCCTGTAATTTTAATGCTTTGGGAGGCAGAGCTGGGAAGATAGCTTGAAGCTAGAAGTTTGAGACCAGCCTGGGCAACAGGGTAAGACCCTGTTTCTCCAATTTTTTTTTAATTAAAAAGAAATTGTTTAGGTTATAGATGATGGTAGCTTGGACTAGGGTCGAGGTACTGGCAAGGAGATAAATTGATAAATTTGAAAGATATTTAGGAGATAATATTGACTAGAGCTGAGATGGATAACTATAGTAGGTGAAACAATGGAAGCTTTCAGGATAACGTCTTAGACAACAATCACAGAAAGGAGACACCATTATGAGGATGGTGAGATTATACAAATTGTTTTGTACATATTAAATAGGTGGTGCTCTTGAGATATCCCAGTGGAACGATCAATTGAACTTGTGAGTCTACAATCTTAGAAGAGAGTTTTGATATGTAGATATAAATATATGTGACTTCTGAATATAGACAGTAATTTAAGCAATAGACATGGATAAAGCAATCTAGGAAAGGGTACAGAGTAAGAAAAAAGCTTAAAATGGATCCCTGAAGAACTCCAACTTTTAATGATCTAGGAAAGTGGAATAATCCTGCAAAAGTAACAGAGGAGGAACAGCAGGCAGGAAGTGTAGGAGAAAAATGAGCAGTGATCAAGTAAAACAAGGTCTGAGAATGTCTGTTGGACTTAGCCACAGGTGGGCTAGTGGTAAGCTTATCCACTTATCCAAGTCATTCTAATGGAATAAAGTGGGTAGAAGGAAGATTGAAGAGTAGTTACAAGTGGGATAATGAAGACAACAAGTATAAAGAACACTTTCAAGAATTCTGGCTGTAAAAGACAAAGTTAAGGTAAAAGTTGGAGATTTTTTCCGGGCTCCAGACTTGCTCTCTCCACTGGGATAACTTTAACGGTACCTTACACGTTCAATATGTCCAAAACCAAACTCGTGATCTTGATCCTTCTGACACGTAAAAATATCTGGCCTTCTTTGAGCATTTTCATAATCAGTGAAAGGCACCTCATTCATCTCACTTCTATGTACATAAAAATACTTTAGCAATTTTTAACATTCTATGAGATGGATCTGGTTGAGAGGGAGAGGATCAATATATAAGGATGAGAGGGTAAAAATTCTTGGCAAGTATTATTACTTGCCCTGAGAAAATAAGTCTCAGAAAAGTTACATAACATGTCCAGTCTCTTGAAGCGAATAAGAAAAAGAGCCTGAATTATAAACCAGGAATTTTTGGTTTCAAAATCATTAATTACAATGTCTTTCCTGTATATCATTTTTTTAACCAAGAAGTAACATCAGTGGATTATTGCCTAATATTAAGTCTTGTGTGCATTATTTTATTCGTCAGAAATTCACTTCCTTAATACTAATACATAAATTAAGGGACCATTCTAATTCAGTGATGATAGATAGACTTTCTTTCCTTCCTGGTGCACTTACATTGTGATGGAAGCAGTAGAAAGTTGACGGTATCAAAATAATCCAGTATCCTTTCCATTTAAAAAGGGGGATTCCTCTACACTGTTTCTTCTTGCAGAGAAAAAAATCTTGCATTTCCCATGGCCCAACTCAGTCCATGCTACTGCACAAAATCGAGATCTAGACCAAAAATATTAATCTTCCTCAAATAAAAATGAGGGCAAGATCCATGTAAACCAAATCACTGCAAAAACAAACATAGGAATAAAATTTTAATTTGGATACCATAACAATGTAGATTTTAAATTATCATAACTTTTTCACACGTTTAAAATACTCAATTCATCAATATTAGATAAATTTATTTTTCTCACTAAAAATGGCAATATCATCTTTTATGCACTTAAGGGCATTTGCATTTCTTATTTTGTTAACTGTACTCTAGCCATTTGTTTGTTTTCTATTGGTCTGTTAGTTTTTAACTTACTGATGGATATATTAAGAATATTAACCTTTAGTCTGTCATGTGAATTACAAATATTTTCCTCAATATGTCTTGTCTTTGAGTTTTATTTATGGCATTTTTGTATGTATGCAATTTTTGAGTAGTAACTGATATCAATTGTTTCTATTTTCTGTTTTAGTGTCATGCTTAGAAGTGCATAACTTTTTTTACATTCAATCATTAATACATCTAGAGTTCCTTTGTGTACTGTACAGTATTGTATTAGTCTGTTCTCACCCTGCTAATAAAGAGATACACAAGACTGGGTAATTTATAAAGAGAAGAGGTTTAATTGACTCACAGATTCACATGACTGGGGAGGCCTCAGGAAACTTACAATCATGGCAGAAGGGTAAGCAAACAGGTCCTTCTTCACATGGTGTCAAGAAAGAGAATGAGAGCTGAGTGAAGGGGGAAGCCC